ACAAGAAATTGACACGGAATGTGATGTCAAATCTCTGCTAGTTTGTGGTTAAGTCCCAAATGCTTTGCTATACAAGCCAAATTTCTTTTCAAAGCCAGCACAGAAATGGAACAGTTCTCTACTGTTTTTCTATTTTAAAGATTTTCTAACCAAATAAAACATTATGCCTCAATATATGTATATGCATTTTTTACATTGTTAGCTACATAATTATGCCTCAATATATGACATGCTACACATGTAAACCCTATGTTATTGCAAATATTTAATATTCTTAATTTCTATTTTCTTTTATTTCCTTTCCATCTTTTCATTTTTCCTTTTTCCTTTTTCTTCATCACTTGCGTTTCGTGTAAATATATTTTTTATTTGCACTTAAACCCTATTTGCAGTTGTTGTGGCTTATACAGAAATACTTCTGACACAAGTGCTTTTAACAAAAGTATTTTTAAATTATTAAAAACTGAGATCCTTAAGTTAGGAAAATTTAGTTTCCAAACACGGTAGGAGTACTTTTAGTGTTCAAAAGGGTTTTTTTTTGGGAAAATGTAACTAGACCTCAAAAGGGGCCTTAAGCACTTATTAAATACTTAAATGCCATTACTAAAAGCTTTATTAAATGAAGTAATTGTCAATAAGTTACCATAATCCCCTTATTTTATATTACAAACTAGCACCCCATGTGTATTTATTTGATTATCGGTCAACCCCATAACCATTTCCTAATTCATTTGTGCTTTTCTTCTTTTTACTTTTTCATGCATAGTATCTAACCATGCCCGTGGGTCTTGCCTGTGCAATTTGGAATGCAGGTGCCCTGAATTGACAAGCTCCAACGTGCCAGGGTCTCCTTCCACTTCCTATGGTGCGCACAGTCCAGAGTTCCCACAATAGACGAATCCTTATTACCGCATGAGTAAGCATTCTTTGGAGCTAGGTTTAGCTGTGAAGCTATGATGTTTTAGATATCATTCTTCCAAATGCAGCTAATTACATAAATGATCAGATCACAGCAGCTTCTGCACTTATTTATTCATCTGTCCCGGGAATTGTATCAAATTTCTGCAGTGGTCTTTGATCCTCTTTATGGGTGCTCAAAAAGTTTCAGTACAGACCTGGAATATAGGTCTGGTAAAACCTAGGTTTGATGTGTCAATTCCCCTTATATATAGACTAAACAAGCACAGCTAGCTAAACAATGACTCTCTAATCTAGACTCCAAAAGGACAGCCTATATAAGATTGTCTCTTATGTTTCTTTTTTCGGTGCAAAATGTTGTCCTATTTAATATATCTTCAAACATTATGCTACCGATTAAAATTTTTGTTTGACATAAAAATTAACCAATGACAAAAAAGTCAAACAAGAAAAACCAGTCAGCATATATAAATGTAGATAATGAAATGACGATCTGGATACTAACATAAATTTTCGGTACAAATTTGAAGAAGTGAGAAAATTTGTTGTGTTACTGTTTATATTTGTTAGTATTTTAATATTTACACTTATTCTATTAGTGTATATATTATATGTTACAATTGCCACTGACAGTCGTAGAAGCCAATAGTATGCAATGAATAAAGTACCTTGCAAGAACTCAAGAAACCAATAGTATGCAATGAGTAGTGAGTTTGTTTGGATAGGAGTTTATTTGGATGATTTATTTCAGATAATTATTATAACACTTTTTGTGATGTGATGTATCTGAAATAAAAATGTGATTGAAAAAATAAAAAAATGATTAAAATTTATGAAGCAAATTATTTTTTTCAAATGATCTCAAATGATCTCAAAATGTATCTGAGTGTGTTTGGATTGCATAGTTTTGAAATAAAATAATTTATTTCACAAATTTCAATCACTTTTTTTTATCTTACATACATCATATTACAAAAAGTGCTACAGTAATTATTTTAAATAAATCAAAAGTCATCTAAGGCATAAAATTTCTTCAGGGTTGGGCTTTTATTAGTAGGAATGAAAAACTAAATAGAGAGACAAGCAATTGCTTGTGCTAGTCAAAGTCTTCATTTTGTATTCTATGAACTGAAACTTTGCTATTTATAAAATGGTCATGAATTAGCTCTTGTTCCTTAAATTAAACTAATTTAGTTTTCAAGTTTTCTCAAATGACAATTGGTATCAGATTATGATCGTGATCTCCTCAATAGTCAAATGGGTAAAAATTTCGCTGACTTTAATAATCTTTTGATACTGTTAACAAGAGAAAAATCATTGCAGTATGATGCATGAAATTGACTTTCCAACAAAAATCGACAAGAAAATTGAAAACAGGTACCAATTAGTTGAATCGAAGCAACAGAGGGTACAACATGATTTTAAGAAGGGAGACTTGAAGAAGCAAGAACCATTAATGGGGACTACAAAGTACACACTGACTCATTGGGTTGTTTGGACTTTGGAGGGTTTTGCATAAAATGTAAAGTGTATTGTCTTGTTGGGACTAGGCAAAGCAGAATAAAAGAGAGCAACCAATCCAACCAAAGGCAGCAGCCTTTTTAGTCCATGGAATTAAATATCTCTTCCCACCTTAGATTCGGTCTAAGATCATACGGTCGGTTCCTCGGCAATAGGCTCCTTTTTTTGTTGTTCAGTACATTCTTTTCTTTCTTCTCCTGTCTTCCATAGCTTTTTATCATATCTCTACATGCATTTACCAAACATTATTAATTCAATGCTCCAAAGCTGCATGGGTATTTTGTAGCAAACAACAATATTTTGGGAGATAATCAATTTAAAGAGCTCAACATCGCGGGTTTTGAACTAGTGACCATTGTTGAGATCTCGAATCTTTGATTTTCAACTAGTGACAACTATTGAGATCTCGAATATTTGAGAATTGTATTATAATGATTAAGACATAGATATACACGATTAATTCATATATAACATCTTTAAAGTGTGAGGACTTCAACCTCCATTTTAAAGTAAAAAAGAAAAAAAGGATAAAGTGTTTGAGTTTTTTTTTTTACCTTAATTATATGGATTAATCTTTTTACACTGACAGTGTATACGATATCAGCGTTGGATGAATGACAATTATGTAAAATTTAAATTTGAAATTCAATTTTTGCACACATATCATGAATCAAAAGATGATAGTATATACACTGTCAGTGTATATAAGATTTACTCTAATTATATTTGGACCATCCTAACATTTGAGATTCTCAACCATTAGGAACTAACATTCACCCTAGTCAAGGACAGAGATGTATGCACTACTTTCGTCACTGTGATTTGTAGTCCAATTAAGGACAAGGGTTGATGTATATTTGCTAGAATAAATCCATATATAAACTAAATTGAACCATGGTACCTTGATGTAGCTAAATCCTGGCCATAAAATTCTGCGAAATGGAAAAGGGCCTGATCAACTGTTAAAGGGCCCCCTTGATCTCTGAGTCTAGTGTGTAACGTGCATGTCCACAGTCAGTTGCTCATAGTTTGTACATTTGCACAAGCCAGGACACATCATTGTGAATATCATTTGGAGGTTTTGAAATGCAATAATCTTTTTTTCTTTTTTCTTTTTTTTTGGTGGGCTTTGTGTTTGTGGACAACTTTAGTTCTCATAGCAGTTGTACTAATATTTTGCGTGCCCTATATACAACGGGAATGACGCTAACACAGAACCTAAGGCCAATGCTGCAGCAACAGAACCAGTGGGATTGGTTATGCATTTATTTTGGTAAACATATTTTCTGACTAACTAGCTGTAGAGGGGTTGGCCTAATTTCCCTGGAATACAGAAGCAAATGAGAGTTAGCAATACAAAATGTCTTTTTGTATTAATGTCTTTTTTTTACTCTAATATCTTGGGCATTCTTCCAACATTTTTTACTAGTTTTTATGTTATGGTTAGGGTTGAAAAATGAACCAAACTATTCAATACTCAAATTGTATCCGACTTGATAACAGTTGATTCGAATACTCAAATTGTATCCGACTTGATAACAATTGATTCGAGCTTGATTTGCTAACTAATCAATCCAAACTCGATCAGCATTTTATGTTTGATAATTTTTAAATTCGATTAAATTCTACATAGCCAAAGGGTTGACAAGAGTTTTATGTTCACGTTTTAAGGTCTCATATCTTTGAAGTATGAACCACTTACTTTGCAAATACTTGAGTTTTCAATTTTTTTTGTTGTTTCCTCAATAATGGCTTTGTAGTTAAGTTCATATGGGTAATGGGATGTATACTTGTTAAGGGATGTCTGCTTGTTAAAGTATTCGAAATTTAGAGTATGTCCTCCACCTATGTTTACTAGTATTCAAGGAACACAACAATGCGTGTGCAATTAATAGAACAATATTTATAAGATTTTCTAAATATATTTGTTGAAATCATTTTCAAGAGAACTGATTTTATATTTGACAATAGATATGTAGAAAATCTATCAAAATAAAAAGTATAAACAAATAATTATTTGGTGGTAAGGCATAATTATAGCTAGTAGTTGCTAAAAAATAATATTTATTAAATAAGTTAAGAAATGGAATAAAAAGAAATATATGTTACTTTTTTTTTTGTCAAAAAAAAGGACCTGATCCCACTTTAGATCCCAACCCTTATTTGGGTTGTTGGGTTATTCCCCATTTTTGTTACAAGGGTCGAACTCTGGTGGATGCCCTAACTAGGGACTACACCACCAGGTCGGCTACCTTGGAGGGACAAGAAATATATGTTATTTGATAGAAGAACATGTTGACAGTGGGTAATTATTAATGATAATTTAGAAAGAACACTAGGAGACATAATCTGTATGTAATATAGATATATTTTTTAACACGTTATCCTATTATAGCCTAAATCTCTTAAACTTTAACATTAACTAGATTGGCAAATTAGCTTAACCCATTTTTAGTTACTTCAAAATGTGCATTATGACTTGACCTGTCATAATTGTTTAGCCAGTTAGAACAAAGTCTATATAGGTATTAGAGAAATAAAACACTGTACAACTCAATATCTTAGTCAACTTCTTCTCAGTTTTATATGGATCTGACTGTAAAACGTAAATGCCATATATAAATAGTGAAATTTCCAAAATAATACGCATGGAAAATGTAACATTCTCCCATCCTTGGTACCAGATTACATCACATCAAAGGTATTTCACATCAGTCCAGAGTTTCTGTCGTTTTCCTCTCATATCAATTACTACTCCACAGTCTCCATTGGCTGCTACTGACTAGCTAGCTCTCCATTTTGGATAGCTTGTTAGATTCAATTTTTGGCAAACGCTAAACTATTCAGTGCTGCAATCTTACTAGTAAGAATGCACCTAAACATTATCAGATGAACTTATTCATTCTAAGTAGCACATAAGATAAGCATCCTTATGCTGCTCCTAGAGGAACTCATAGAACTGTTTTGGAGGAAGTTTGGAACTTATCGTTGTCCTAAGCTCTTTAAACTCTGTCTCTGATGCTTTAATGGAGCAATGATCGTCGCTTCGCAGTGGAAATAGCTGAAGTGTGTGATGGTTTCTTCTTCCATCTTCATAGTTGATCATATCTTCACCGCAGGATGGGGAAACTACGCTGGAATTTAATGCAGTTATCTGCTGATTTTCCCCTGAAGATTCAAGTGTGGAAGGTGCAGTTATGGTGTTTAATAGGTCAGAGTTGGGAGCCATACAAGACATATCCATCAGGGAAGTTGCACCCTTTGCTATTTTCCTTTCGCTCCTCTTCTGCAGTTCTCTCTCATCCAAATGAGTCCATCCATCTGTTCCACTTTCTGTTACCATTGATCTTTGCATTGATACAGACTCCTGAAATGAACAAGTATTCAAGGCCCTGTCAATTTGCACTATCCCCAATAATACTAACACCCTTTCAGGAATTAGACCAACAGGCCTAACTACCAGAAAGTATAGTATGCAGCTTTTCCAATTTCAACTCTTATTGTTTTTCCCATCATATAAAAGCTTTCCTCCCTCTTGCATTTGTCACTTTTGCCCTTTTGAAAAATTAATTGACCTACTTTTGTAAAAAGAAAAGAGAGAAGGAAGAAAATGTTCCCTTCATTACCTCATAAAATATCTTCTCTTGTTTTTGTTTTAAGACGAGAAGAAGAAAAAGACACAAAGGCCTATCACTCAAAGGAATGGATACAGACCTTTGAAGTTGAACTGTATGCTGGAATTGTAGTAACCAACTTCTTATTGTGTTCACCTTCCAAAGCTTTGCAGCTAAATCCTGTAAAGAAAATAGTTAAAAGAAGAAAACCCTATTTCATGTCAAGAAAAACTGTTTATTGCATTAGCATCATGGTGCGATACAAACCCTACTTACCTGTCTCTTTTGCATCTAGGGTTTCAACGTCAGTTGCATTTTTGCTAGAATTTGAGTCCGGTTGGCGACGTCTTTTCTGTCGTTCTCTTGCTTTGTGGTTTTGAAACCAATAGAACACATTCTTCCCTTCAATCTTACCAAACTGGCGAAGCTTTGCAGCAATGAGCTTGATCTCTTCAGCTGAGGGAGTTCTTACTCCGCGTCGATACATTTCCTCTAAGGCCATTAGCTGCTCCGGTGTTGGATTCCACCTTGAACTCACTATGGGTTCCATGTGGTTCTCATCTTTACTTTCTTCATCATGATTAACGCAAGCTACAAGACATTCATAACTCATCACACAAATAAGTAAAACAGAAGAAAAACTAACAAAAAATTGTGACATACTTTGATGGTAGTTCATGGGAAATCCAATCCCGTTGCCAATGTGACTGGAGTAATTAGATGGTATCAAGCAACATGGAGCACAATTGCTCATTGAAGCATTAGATTTTGGGAAGATATGGCGAATTCGTTGATTGTATAATGCATCATATCTAGATTCCTTGACACTATCCTCACAATTTTTCAACCACATAATAGGTTGTTCACTAGGTGTCCGAAGAAGGGATTGGAAGGTGAAAGATGGGAGAGATTTATGGAGCAAGTACTAGTTGACAATATGGTCCAGTAGCATGCTGCTGAAATGAAAAAGCAAGCAAGGAGGAAGGGCCAGGGTTGGGGATGGGTGGTCTTATGCAAAAATGCTAACATATGTCATGAATTTAATGCATGTGTTTACATGTACAGATGCAAGATTAGTGCAATTATTGAATGCTCTTTTCTGTGTTTGCTTTTCTTGCTTCTCTCTCTCGTGGGTCGGTTATAAAAGCTTAGGTGAAAAAGGAATTCTGCAGCCCCAAGGTTAATACTGTACTGGAAGGGACATTGAAATTCTTGAGTTTCAGTGATAGAGATGGAACGAGGGGGAAAAAAGGGATGGGGGGCAGTGAAGTAAAGGAGAATGGTTTTTGTTTATAGAAGAAACAACAAGAGATAAGAGTACTTCATCAATAGGTAGACCATGCTATGCAGCTGTGCAGTGTGGTCAGAGAAAAAAGAGAAGGACAAAGCAAACTAGGGAGGATTGAAAAGAAAGCGTGAAATTCTGGGAGATATTGGGGGAAGAGATGTAAAAGCGACATGTCAATGATGAGAGAAGTGTCAAAACTCAATAAGACTTGATTTTTGCATTCCACATTCTACTACTTCAAACCATGCCATCTGCCTCAGCCCCTCATCACACTTCATTTTCTTTTTCCTTCTCGTTTTACTACCTATTCATGCTCCAGTGCCTTTCACACTTCTTATTTCTAAACTGTCTCCCCTTTGTATGTCTTTGATTTTAAAACAGCCTCAATGAGTTCAGTTTATCACTTTCATAAGTGATATACTCTAGTTATTAGTTAGCAGCAAATTGATTCACAAGTGATATACAAGTCCATAAGACTTCTTTGCAGCCTTCGTTGGACCAATTATTGCTTCATGTTCAAAATAGAGCACCGAAGACTTTTGAGCAGAGAGCGGTGTGGTTCAATAGTCAACTGCTTGAAATAGTTTTCTGCAGTTCCACAATCGGTGATCCACAACCTGAATAGTGCTGAAATCAAATTGCAAGTCAGATACTCATTCATTTGATTGAAGAAGCTAAATAAAAGAAACAAAACTTTTAGCTTGGTGCTTGTCCAATGCAGTGCAATCAACAAGATATATTAGTTGATTTACTACTGTCTCTGCTAGCTAGGACCCGAATACTAAATAATGCCTGAAGATCGAGAAACACGTTCATTTGGTTGCTTTTTTCGGCTTGCCACAAGTCTTATGTCTAGACTCTAGAATTCCTAGCAAACTAGCTTTCTGTTTTGGCATTGAGGACAGTCCTTCCAACAGTGTTGCATTTGGACATGTTTATCCTTTACCCTCAATTAGGTTTCGTACCCTTATCATGTGAGAGTGAAACAAGGAAAAAAAAATATACGCAAGAGCAAAGTTTATTCTACTTTTCTTTAATTCTTTAAAGCAACTAATGTGAAAGAGATAAAAGCAATACGGGAAGCAGGTGAAGAACTCTGATTTCAAATCTTCATTTCCTTATTTCTACTTGAATAGCAAAAGAACATAGCCACAGACGCCCAGAAATACCTATTTATTTATATTTTCCTGATCAGTCTCCAAAGGATGCTTCTACATTGAAGACCAAATAGCTGATTTGCCCAAAGAGTTGGACAATCTTTTCTCAAGCGAAACGTACAGTTAATTGCAGAACATGAGAAATCTTACATGCTTCACCAAAATACAAACAGAAGGGCAAGTACAAATAATTCGTTTCTTCAATGAATCCACTGATTTTGTAAAGTACAAGGCAACGAAGATTGCCACCGTTTTAGACTATAAAGGCATACTACAGAACCCACAGCTGACGGTACCCCTAACCTAATAAATATATTATTACATTTTAATCTGAAGATTATGGGGATATTGAACAAGTTTCAGCTTTCTGATCAATGATAAACTACGCTCTATATCAGGAATTGAAGTATTTTCGACAAATTAATTTATTAATTCTGAAGTTGCTCTAAAAGCTTGTTACAAGTGCCAACTCCAACAGCAGCAGCTAGATGCCAACCAGCATGAAGGAAGGGAGTTTCAGGGAAGACATCATCAGCAATGAAAAGTGCACCCCCCAAAAGTGATGACATCTTATGTACATTGTGTGCCATCCTCAGTTCTGGATCTTGAAATGCTCTTTTTGCAAAAGCAACCTGGACAGATGCATGGGGAATAAAAAAGGCACCGTTACCAATTTGTCTCGGCTACTTGAGTATTTGAGATTGGACCGGTTGGATAAAAATGGAAGGGTGGCTAGGCATCTTTAGTTACACCAAGTTTAGAAACTAAGGTAGGATAAATGAGACCTCTCGAAAATGGATGAAGAAGTTCAAGTGTTGTGTATTACATATAGTAAACTCTCGAAAATGTATGAAGAAGCTCAAGTGTTGTGTATTACATATAGTAAACCAGTGCATGCTTTTCTCAATGTTCTCTTTGGTGTGTTTTAACTCGCATGTTGCAAGCTATGGAATCTCAATGGATCCAGGACAGCGTGTGCAGCAACTGAGAAGGCCCAAGCAAGGTTAATTGTGGACAATATTTTATACTTCTCAGGTATTATGATGGTAGGACTAGGAAACACATTTGACAGATCACTTGGGCAGCTAACTTGGCTTCATCTTTTTGGGTTCTAAAAAGGATGCGGAGGTCATTGATGATGTAAAGACAAATTCATGAATCAATAATCAGTAGCATATGGATATATTGTCTCCTAATCAATTACAGTTCAACCAAATGCTAATATAACCTACTTTGGACAATATTAGATTTCAAACAAGTGAGACACTTTAGGTCAAGCCAAGGCATGAGCAACATTCCCTTTGCCTTCTCTCTCCTCCTATCACCAGAAGAGCAACAAATCTTCAATGTGTCTCATGCTAGATGAGGACATGAGCATAAACAACCAAGAAAATTAAAGCACGACAAGCTATGTAGTAAACTGTGTTTCAGCTTCCACTAATTCCAGCTCTATAATTAGCATCCGTTTGGCAAGTGAGTTTCTTGAGTGTTTGTCTAAAACTTTATTGTAACTTACTGTAGAAGTTGTAGAAAAAATTTTTGAAGTGTGTAAATTTTTGGATATTTTGAAATGTATAGTTTAAAAACTTTGAAAAGTTTTTTGAGGTTACTGTAGTTAAAGTTATTAAAAAACTTGTAGCAGACAAACTTGGCCAAAAACTTGCTTGCCAAACAGTTGGTCTTCAAGGAACTACAACTTCAATCTTGCATACCTAACTGGCAATAGTAAGCTACATATGTATATTATGCCAGTCAAGTAATAAGTATAAAGATAAGACTTGGAACACAGAATACATGCCACAACGGAGAGGATTGGGTCTGAACTCTTTTAGCTCGTTCCTAAGGCCTCCCAGGCCTCAGTTACACTTAAGAGAGTCAAAAGACTAGACTTAGAACAGACTGCATTCTGGCTTATGAATCAACTCATAAATATGCATGTACGTCTATTACCTCCATCATCCCAGTATGTACTGCAGAAACCATCAAAGGCTGGATTGGCAGGAATACAGCAGAGGCTGCCATGAGCAACTTTGGGTTCTCAGCGCGCAGTGCCCTTGACAAACACTACAAAGGAATCAGTAATAAATGTCAATTAGAAAACTAAAAGAGTAAAATGTAATCCAGATCTAGGTTATTCAATGAAGGTTTACTGGTTAGCTAGCATCTAGAAAATGCTTGGGATAAATACTATTGAGAAAATCTTACAGGTATTGAATCAACCTAACTGAACTTGTAGCAGAAAAAATACAAACTGCAATCGAACGCTACTTTTTATACAACAGGAATATCCTAATCTTTCCATTTCCTCTGTTCCTCATGCTAGAGATAAAGTGAAAAGCAACAAATCAAACAATGGATGGTGAGCTGCATTAAACCAATATGCTGTATGAGTGGACATATCTAAGCACAAGAGTTCTCTTTTCCTTTGAGTAACTTGTCAGCAAAATGGCAAAGGTCCATGAAATCGATGATTAGATATTTTTCAGTTTTTAATATCTTTCCCTTTCCCTTTGTGAAGCAAATTGCTCACCCTATTTAGCTGCTAGACGAGTGCAGAATACCTGAGTCAAAAGCTTCTTTTCCAAATAGACACACAAGAAAGTCATTGTTACATATTACGTAATCTGATAATTTCTGTTATCACCCTTACTCAGTCAAGTCATCATTGCAGGATACAAGCTTGTCATTATATGTTAAGACATTCAGCAAGGTATTATAGTACAAAAATAAGAGATAAAAATCCAGGATAAATTAGAGCATACATGTTCTGAATTCACAAACATCCAGAGATGCATATTTAGAAAGTTAACTTTTTTAAACTGGAGACACAGACAGGCTGAGCAGATACACTCAATCAAAAGGACAAATTACAATAAGTAGAAGAAATGGTCATGTTGATGCTGTTGCAAGCCAGTAATTCTTAAAATTAAAGAAAAAAAGACAGAAAAATTTAAAGGCATGTAACTTAAGGGGGGGAATAACTGAGGGATGCTGTGAATGTCAAAAAATTAGTCTGTCAGAATTTTTGATGCCCCTGACAAAGGCAATGGCACATAGAAAATATCCAAGGACACTCCAAAGGTTTCAAAACATCCACTTATTACTTTCTGATGGATTAGAAAACCAATCTGCCACAATTTGCATGTACTTGTCCACTATGTTTCTATGCCAAGAAAATTTTCTTAGATGGAAGTATTGATACTGAAGGCTGAACAACAATTTATTCTATTTGATTCAACTTACGGAACTCTAGCAAATATAATGCGTAGATGGAAGTATTGATACTGAAGGCTGAACAACAATTTATTCTACTTGATTCAACTTACGGAACTCTAGCAAATATAATGCGTACATCCAAAGACAACTATTCATTCATGGCATACCACTGTTGTTGTGGCTATCATTGTGTAGTCAGCCCATCTCAGATATTTCCTTAGTTTTCCTCTCGAAGCATGGTACAAGCTGGAGGAAAGCCCTACTCCAATTAAGGAATTGGCATAAAGTTTACAGTTTAGATTCTTCCTGCATCATCAGCAAAAAGCATTTAGGCCTCAACCATTATCTTCAACCTCCCAGACCCCTCACTGTTTCTGTTCTGTTCATTTGGGGGATGGATTTTGTTGTAACATCCCAAAAGCCGAATTACTCACAAAATATAGTATACACATTTATCCACCAAACACATGCAGGATTAAGGGAAAGCCTCTACCTTGGTGCCTGAAGTCCAAGAGCAATAAAAGGAAGTGATGTAAGCACATTAGCTATCCTCTCTACAATAGTCTTATCACCTAAAATACAGAAATGAAAGTTTTAGAAAAGAAAAAAAAATCAAAGTT